CGGCGGCCTAAGGCCTTCCCTCCCTCGGCATCTTCTCCCAGGGAGATGAAGCCAGATCTTCCACCTGCCTCAAGCTGCACTTTCCCTCGGAGCGCTCCCTGGTACTCAGGGCCGTGAAGGCGGTTCAAGTGCACAAACTCTCTAGGAGAGCCTACGTGCCGATTAGATAAACCACAGGTACACAGTGTCATGTTACTCAACCACCCTGGCATCAAACCTGAAACGATGACCTAACTCACCACCTTTACTCCCTGCAATCAAGTCTCTCTACCCTTTGGTCAGGGCTGTGCACTTTTTTATTCAAATGCCAGTTTGAAAAAAAAGAAAGAAAGGAAAGGAGCCATTTGCTGAAGGGCTCCAAGTCCAACTTGAAGAGCTAAAACTACTCTCAAAGCCATCCCCGACGCAACATAGTTGCTATTTCCTGGCCTCTGCTCATAAACATGTCCTGACTACCCATCTTTCACGCTTCATTTGAAACTCTGCTTCTAATGTCCACTGGCATAGTTTATCTTTTCTTGTTTTTCTTTTTTTCACAGGAGCGATATGCGTTCAAAGCAAAAACTAAAAAAAACAAAAAGCCTGGGATAAAATGAAAATTGTTTACTCTGGAAACCCACCATCTGAGATAATCACTGATCACATAGTGGTATATATATGATGACATTGCCATATTTTTTCTATATGTATGTTGAAAACAAAAACAGGCTCATATTGTACATAGAGTTTTGCATCCTGTTTTTTGCACTTCAAAAGGTATCAAAAATGCTTCCTTATCAACATTATTCGACAAAGTTATTTTTAATGGCTACTTAAAATTGAATGCTTCTAAAACTCCCAGGAGCCCTAGAATTTTTTTCTTTCATTTTTTTTTTCTACTTTTCCCTCTCCACACATTCCCCAGTAAGAAAAATACAGTCCAACCTCAGTTCTCGAATGTCTCCCATCTCAAACAATTCCCTTCTCAACTAAGTTGTTCTTGGAAAAAATGCCTCATAGTTGAACAAACCCTTTCACGTTGCTACATCAGCATGACAAAAATTCTCTCTCAGGCCACAGACAAAGGAGAGAATGTGAGTCAGTTTTACCACTAAGCTTCACAGTGTTAACATCTCAGGAAATAGTGCTGTGAATATTTCTGTGGGTTTTGTTTGTTCGTTTTTTGTTGCTTTTGCTGCTGGCAAAAATGGACAATAAGTACTATTTTAAAACATGAAGAGGCTATCAAGAATGCTAATGTTGCTAAGGGTGTGAAAGAAACAATCACAGGCAACTGAAGAGGTAGAAAAACCATTGCTGATTTGGATAAACTAAAAGCAGTTAGCCGGTGACAGCATTTAGAAGGCAAAGACAAGTGAAAAAGCGAAGGTGCTCCTTAACTTCCTGAAACACAACCCTGGAACAAGTGCTGAATGTGATTCATTTAAGGCTAGTAGGGGGTAGTTCAATAAATTTAAGAAAAGTGTTTCTTTATAGATTAAACAGTACATTAGACAGGTACTATATATAAGAAAGGTTAAAACAGGGAATAATTTGGGGGGGCTCTGGAACAAATTAATTCAATATACATTATTTCTAATGGGAAAAAAAAAGATTCCGTTTTCAACCCCTTCTCAAATAGCCTTCCGGGATGAATGAAGTTCAAGAACTGAGGTTCCACTGTACAACTAAAAGGCAACTGCCTTGCCCTGGCCAGGTGGCTTGGTTGGTTGGAGCATCGTCCGGTACACCAAAAGGTTTTGGGTTTAATTCCCAGTCAGGCGCCACATACCTAGGCTGTGGGTTCAATCCCCAGTTGGGGCATGTTCGGGAGGCACCCGATCGATGTTTCTCTCTCTCTCCCTTCCTCTCTCTTTAAAAACATATCCTCGGGTGAGGATAGAAGAAATAAAAGGCAACCGTCTTCCTTCAATCAGTACATCACAAACGCTTTCAGACAACTACCATGCTACTGTATTTGTTTTTCATAACCATGATTTCATTTATATCACATCTATTTGTTAGATGGCTGTGAATCAATAACTGTCTCTGCCCCATCAAGCTCCAAGGCAGGGCCAGGTTACCATCTCATCGATGGTGTGTCCCCTCAACAATCCACCACACATTATTCAAAACCATAATAACTCCAAACAAAATGAGTCACAAACAGTATGATTCTTCCAGAAAGATGACCTCACTGTTTCTTTAAAAATTACAAAACATTAAATTATTTAAATGTGTTTCTCTCTTTTGATGCTCCCTTTACTAAGCTCAAACACACGCTTAGATCGCCTATTAAGCAATGTTCACCCGGACTGAGACAGGAATGCTTTGTTCTAAGGAGCAGTCCGAGTCTAAATCAGATTATGAAATCTGTGCACAATCAAAATCCCATACCTGAGGACAGAGTTTTCAGTGAATCACATTTTGAAAAGGAGAATATTAACTGCCTGTTCAAAGTTATATTATTCATGTGGAATCACAGCAAATGTTTCATGCTATGTTTGAAATTGTACAAAGCTTACCAAGATATTTGCTATGCTTCCATTAGATGAATAAGTAACATCGCTTGCGTTGAGTGATTTTATGAGTGAATTTCAAGTGACTTATTCAGCAAATCTTCACACTTCAATTAAAGAGATGATATGCTTCCAAAAAATGAAATGTCAAGAAGTGTCAACACACTAATGACAGTGATAGTAATTAAGAGCCTGGGCTCCCAAGTCAAACTGCTTTGGCTTATATTCTGATTTTCACTAGCTGTAGGATCTGTGCCTCTACACCTCAGTTTCCTCCTGAAAAAAATATATCCTTCATGCAGCTATTGTGAGAATTAAATGACTTAATACATGTAAAGTGCTTAGAACAGTAGATCGTGCCTCCAATAAATGTTAGCTAATTATTATCATTATCCGTCATTATTATTACACATTTTTATAAAAGGTTCAAAATCTAACTTCCCATTTTTTCCTCCTTACTGCGGAATGTACTATACCAAACAATCACAAAGAATGTTATACGCTGCTGTACTGAACCCCTGGCTTATAATTTTCAAATCAACTGTTCTGTGCCAATTTTCTCTAAAAAAAATCAATTGAAGTGTAATATTTACATTTTATACACCTTACCCATCCTCCTTACAATTAAACTGCGAGCATACTATAAAGTAGTGTGTGTGTATATGTAACATACATATATATACTGACTAGTATATACACACATTAAACAGTACCTCTATATACGGAACAACACAAGTCTTCGGGAAACCACAAAGTTTTAAAAAGAAAATGAAAGCTGAAACAGGAAGTAGTTCTGATACTGTTGTTAAACTTAAATATCCTATCTGATGTATCTCTTCATTTTTAAACAGATATCGAAATAACATCTTGCTCCCCCCAAAAAAAAAGAATAAACAGAGGGTGTTATTATTTTGGCAATTATAATAAAAAAAGCTGCTATAAACAAAAATTTACTAACTAACTAAATAACATCTTTATGATAAGCAAATAAAACAGCCCACCTTAACCGCACTGTAAGGTTTATTCAGGCCTGGAGAGCTAAGTGTACCCAACCAGATCGTTATACATTAGGAAGGTGGAATCCGTCCTGAGTTTGCCTGCCATTATTTTGAAACTCTATAATCTAGAAATGATAGTGTACACGATTTCTTTTTTCCTTTTAAAGAGAATCAGAAAATTACCATAAAATATTTTTATTAATTGATTGTTATCTAAAAGATAGAGGCAAGAGGCAGGTATAATGAAAGAAACAGCAGGACAGGCTTTGGATTCTGGGGCTACCTATTAATTTTACTTTTTTTTATATATATCTTTACTGATTTCAGAGAGAGGAAGGGAGAGGGAGAGACAGAGAAAAACATCAATGATGAGAGAGTCATCATTGATCAGCTGCATCCTGCACGTCCACGACTGGGGATCGAGCCTGAAACTCCCACATGTGCCCAGATAAGGAATCCAACAGTGATCGCCTGGATCCTAGGTTGACACTCAATCATTCTGCTTTTTGATCATAGGTCTAACAGTCTGCTTTAAGTCTCAGGAAAATATACTAGATGATGAAAGAGATTTATTCCCTCACTACATNAGAGTCATCATTGATCAGCTGCGTCCTGCACGTCCATGACTGGGGATTGAGCCTGAAACTCCCGCATGTGCCCAGATAAGGAATCCAACAGTGATCGCCTGGATCCTAGGTTGANGTCCACGACTGGGGATCGAGCCTGAAACTCCCACATGTGCCCAGATAAGGAATCCAACAGTGATCGCCTGGATCCTAGGTTGACACTCAATCATTCTGCTTTTTGATCATAGGTCTAACAGTCTGCTTTAAGTCTCAGGAAAATATACTAGATGATGAAAGAGATTTATTCCCTCACTACATGTTCCTTTGGCCCTATTACTTTCCTATATTGTTTTTTTTTGGTGTGTTGTTTTTTTGAAATTTAGATATTTAATGATATTAAGGAATTACTGACTTTTTCTAAGTGTGAAAGTTTTATGATTAAGTTTTAAAGGGTCCCTATCTTGGAGAGATTCATTCTTAAATATTTACATAAGTAATAACCTGATTCCTGAGGTCTGCTTCAAAAAACAGGAGAGGGAAGGATGGCTTGTGGTTCATTGGTNCCTGATTCCTGAGGTCTGCTTCAAAAAACAGGAGAGGGGATGATGGCTTGTGGTTCATTGGTAGTCAGAAATGGGTGGATACACGAGATTCACTATACTATTCCATGAACTGTTGCCGTATGTTGGAAATTCTTAATTCAAAAGCGTAAAAAGGGACTTGGCAAGGTCTGACTTCCTACTCCCCCTTCTGGAGGAGCACTCATGTCTGAGTCATCCAACCTCNCGGCCCAACTTCACACTTCTGTCCCTGGGCCAACCACGCAACTGGAGGAGCACTCATGTCTGAGTCATCCAACCTCCTCACAAAAACAGCAGCAGGAGAATCGAGGGAAATGTTTTGGGGGGGCCATGGGGGTCTCAGCAGCAGCGTCGCGTTCAATGGCTCAGCGATTTTCGGCCCTTGAGCATGCGGCGAAGGATGACCTGGACACCAGCCGGCGTGCTCAAGCGCTTTATCCAACCGTGCTTGTGCTTCCGTTTGATGTTGCTTGGCTGGTACTCATTCCCCCGTGCCTTGCCCCGGCTCGGCTGCGTGACTGGGAGTCCCCAGGCATCGGGTAGCTGCAAGAAGGCCTGGGGCTGGAGCCATCTGACACCCAATATCGCCGCCGACCTACTGACTGGACACAACAGGCAACTCCGCGATGTGCCCAAGAGAGTCATGTCTACCCTCCTATTGTTTACACTTCCCAAAAATATGAATAGCTTATCCAAAAAAGCCACTGTCGGACTAAAAACACACACACTTCTTCAAAGAACTAGAGTCTAATACATAAACCCTCCACAATACATAAAAGTTCAAACCCAAAGAAAGAACAGCCACCCATTCTATAGAACATCAATACCACTTACAGCAAAAAGAATACACTTCACTTATATGTACATATCCCATATAATCTTTTTTTAAAACACTAGAAGACATGTTCATACATTATAGTTTAGGAAACTGAGGTTCAGAGAGGTTAAGTAATACGCCCAAGCTATAAAGTTAGCAAGATAAAGACAACAGACTTGAATCCACAACTTTCTAACTAAATGGCTAATGATAAGACACCACAGGCATTCTCTGTGTTGTGATCCTTGTACAGCAGGGTAAGTGACCATGGGGACAGGAAACACAGAGCCAAGGTCCTCCCAGTACTCTCTTGACTCTATTCAGGCCCAATACTGGAATCCAGTAAACTGGATTCAAGTTATTTTTAACATAGTTGATTGCTCAAGAATGAACACAACTCCTTCCCAGGTCTCATCCCTGATTCACAGGTAAACTCTGCATTATCTTCTATTAATCAATAAATGAACAAATAACTACCAAAGAACCAGAAATGCAATCATATCATAAAATGCCCTTTTTATAAGTACCATGTAAGACAGCGTAGAAGGAAGAGCCCACGTATATCTGTAGCACTCACACCACAAATGCTTTTAACTTTATAATACTTACTGCACTTATTTACATGAAAGTCACCCTTTACTAGTCTATGAACTTTTGATACAAGATTCTCTATATTCCCCCTTATTATTCAAAGTATAGGTGTTCACTAAATACATGTTAAAAGAAGGAATGAACAAAACATTGAGGAGCTAAGCCTTAAAGAGTAAGTCAGGTTTGGAGAGATGGGGGGTAAGAAGGAAGGGGGAGTGTATTCTAACTAGATACATGATGACCATGCAGAAAACTGCCAGAGAAAATGAAGACGGGTCTTCATTCTTGCGACCAAGCAGCAAAATGGGGAACTGGGGAGGATCTGGGATTCCTCAGTAGGGGACTTAGCACTTTATTTTATAAATTAGGCCAATTGTTTTCATTTATTTTTCTTTTTATAAATATGTTTTTATTGATTTTAGAGAGAGAGGAAGGTAGAGGGAGAGAGAAAGAAACATTAATCGGTTGCCTACTGTACCACCCCACCCTGAGCCCTCCAAACCGCAATCTGGGCAACGTGCCCTGACCTGGACTCGAACTAGTCACCTTTCACTGCACTGGACGAAGCTCAGCCAACTGAGCGACACCGACCAGGGCAGACCAATTGTTTTTAAACACTTCTTTTTAATGCAGAGAAATTCTTTGTTTAAATGAAATGTTATGTGAATCCCAATACATAAAATAGATAAAAGCAGTATAGGGTGAAGCACCCTGGTTTTCACCCACCTCACCTAACTTGAGAAGACTCTGAAACTCCGCCTTGGGGCACAATTTGAAAACCGCTGAGTTAGAAAACAGTCTGGAAGGGCAGACACCCAAGTGCTCAGAGCACTGACCCCAGGAGAGCTGGGCTGGCCTGGCTTGGTAGGGCAAGGAGGACTTGAAATACCACTTTCACTTTTTAAACCCCGCATATTTTTAGATGATTTGAACTTTTGTTGATACTGAGCACTTTTTATTTTATAATTTAAAAAGTAATAAATAACAGGGTTTCCAAAGAACCGACAGGATGGCGGGAGTGGAGCGGGAAAAACTGACCCTCCGCAAGTTCACCTACCCCGAGGGGGATCTCGACCGGCTGCTGGATGGGTCTCACGCCAGCTGATGCAGCTGATGCAGCTGCACAGCCCCGCCAGCTGCGGCTGCACCGGGCCTGTGGAGGAAGGGGCGCTGGCGGCCCAGGCGCCTGCGCAGGGCCCAGGAGCAGCACCGCCCGCGGAGGGGCCCCAGGTGAAGACGCACCTGCGGGACAAGACCATGCTGCCTGGGACGGTGGGCGGCACGGTGGGCGTCTGCAATGCCAAGACCTCGACCAGGCGGAAATCAAGCCTGAGCCGACTGGCCACCACCTGGGTGAGTTCTCCGTCACCTACAAGCCGAAGCGCCCGCCCTGGCATCAGAGCCACCCGCTCATCTCCCTTCAGCCCTTTCAAGTAGCCAATAAAAGCACAGACATTGCTAGTCAAAAATAAAAAAGTATTAAGAAAACATTGCTCTAAAAAGGCATTTTAATGGTTAAATTTCTTCGAGTGGATTGCCATATTTTAATAAACCATTTCCCAATAGTAGGACATTTTCTTGACTAAATGACATCACAATGAAAATGAACATCTTTGTGCATAATACTTTCCGTATCTAGAATTGTTTCCTTAGGATAAATTTATAAAAGATAGTTTTAATATAAGTTCTATGACGCACAGTTTAAAATAGGGCTCTGTCGAATATAAATATATAAAATGTAGTGAGTTTTAAAAGCCATCCTTTATTAGCAAATTTGGATTCTAGCATTCATGTTTACGCTACATAAAACCTAATTTACAAAACTAACTAGCAAAGTTCCCACATCTCAGATACATTAAAAAGAAATTTGATTCAGAAATTGAAATCGCTCTACCTTTCATGAATGTTTCATAATTTCTCTTGCCACTTACCAAAACCATCCCCTGAACGACTTTTTCCTTCACGGATGGGTTTCACAGTCTAGTTCTGTAAAGGCTCAGCCCTGTGACAGTATAATCCCTCTCTGGCAACAAACTGACATCATTAAATTCTTATTTGTAAGTTCTTTGGTGTGTACGGATGTTCTTTTTTCACTTCTTCTAAGATCAAAATCTATTTTCTGTTTCCTCTCCATTACTCTCATACGAACGATACATTTTAATCTAATTTATTCCCTTTGTCCCCAGCCATCTTTATAAAACTACTTTTTGGGGGGTGCTCGGAGAATGTCTTTCAGTTCATACAAAACATAAATGACAGCTGGACTACCTTCTTCCCGTGACCAGTGTGTTGCTCTGTACTCCTGGGGGGAAGAAAGCCCAAAATCAAAAGGTGGTTGTTGTTCTTATCTCCACCATTGTTTTAACATAAGAGCACTTTTTGTTAAATTATCTTTTAAATAACTGAACGTGGTTCTATCACACGATTTCAACTAAAAAAGAATTTCTAATAAAACATTTTCTTTTTTTCAAAAGCAACATCAAGTTCATTTCTGCTACTCTGTAACAGTTCTCATATTAAGGGGATTTACCCTCTATCAACAAAAATTTGCATAGTCCCTACTGGGTACCAGACACTTGCCAAATGCCAGAGTCTATGTGAACAAAACAGAGGCAAGGTCTGCTCTCATAGATCTTTCAGTCTTGGTGCAAAGGCCCTTAGGCAAACAAAGAATCTGGAAAGGTCCAGTACAAAAAAAAAAAAAGTGGAATGATTCTTTAGGAAAACGGACTGGAACCAATTTTGGAATACCTGTAACACCGGACCAAGAAATGTAAAGCTTATATTTGCAAGACTAGGCATTCAAAGGGGTCTGTAGAAAATATAAATCTAATCAGGCCCTGATGAAAACTTTTCACTGCCTTCTCCTCTACTCTAAGATAAATCCAAAGTCTGTAATAAGGTTAACTAAATCACGTATAATCATCCCCAACTACCGAAGACACTGGACTTCTGTTTCCTGTGTTGTAGGGATTTTCTAACTATATACCACAATCTAATAAGCATGTGTGTGTGACACACTCTTATTGTCTATTTTATTTCTTTTTCAAAACAGATAGGTCACAACCCACTTCACTGATTTTACAATCTACTGGTAGGTGCCCGGCTGCCTGCAGTTTGAAAAATACTGTGTACGACACTCTCACACTTCTTAGCTTTTCCATGTTCTTTCTGCCTGAAACACAGGCCCATCCTCGCCCTTCCCTTTCACCTGGCTACTTCGCATTCCGCCTTATGATCTTAGCTCTTACACATCCCTCCCCTGACCCTCTTAGATGAACCAGTTCCCCCTCCTCCGTGGTCCCAAAGTACTCCATGCTTTCTAACACTGACGATGCTTTACCATAATTGTACTCATGCTTGTCTCTCTAGGCTGTAACTCCGAGAGCAAGGAGTCTGTCCGCTGATGAGTAAAACAGGGACCTGGGCTTCAATAAGTCTGTATCTTGAACCACACAATGAAATGATCGCCCACTTAAAAACTGTTTAGTTATTTCCAAGGAAAACACGTTCTTAGTTCCAATTTTAAAAATAGAGGTTAAGTTCCTAAGCTGGTCCTCAAAACACGCTTACCTACAACTCGAGTGACCAATGAGAAATGGCTGCTTCTTTTCCTCTCTGCACTGACAACCTCTCTCAGGACTGAAGGGACACTTTCTCTCCACCCCATCAGTGGTTCCTCCTACAGGAAAGTGATTTATCTAGTGGCTAAAACAAGGATAAAGGTCAATATTCCACATAAGCCCCACCCCTGAGCTTTCACTGGCTCCAGCTCCTATGAGATACAAACTTTCCCTGCCTGCAGGAGGAGACCTGCACTTTTTTGGGTCTGCAGTTTTGTCTGCGTAGGTAAATTAAGAAGGAATAGGGAAAGCACAAGTCTAAGCTAAATTCTCCAATCCAACTTTATCGGAAATGACAATGGAACTACTTTAATACTTTAATCCTCATCTAGTTTCTTGAATTTGAGCTCAATTTGACCAGAATCTGGCGAGAGAAGGGGTGTAATCAGCACACTGGAAGCCCTCAGCACGAACAATAGTAATCCCAGCCTGATTCTGGGGCCTAGAAGAGTAGACAGGGAGGAGCAACGTGCAACAAATGAAATGGGAAGGGAAACGGAATGAAGGACAAGAAGAGTTTTTCCACTTTTCCTATTTAGAACTTTTCTTGGGCAAAAACGTCTGAATAAGTTGGATACGCCTTTATATCCTACAACTGTCCTTTCCAAAATGTTTCTCATCTGTGCTTTTCTTTTCTCATCTTCCAGACCCCTTACGCTGCCCAAAGATCTCCATTTTCAACACCCACACTTTTAGAAATAAAGTTTTGCCCAAACCTCAAAAATGTTCCAAAATCCCATACTACTTCCCTCTCCTAACCCCACTCAAGTCAAAGCTCTCATTTCCTCAGTGCAACTGATCAGGAGAAAAGCAATCTGATTAAATCCATTCACATTAGATAAGAGTATTCGACATTCCTAGCCTTTGATCTTTACTAGATTAGATAATTGATAGATAGATAGATAGATAGATAGATAGATAGATAGATAGATAGATGATAGATAGATGATAGATTTTTAATTTTACTTTAAAGCTACAGAAATCTAACTACAGTAATTACAGAGACAAGATGAGGAATGCCTAGAAGTCTCCCATAAAGGAGGTAGGTCTGCTCTGACCAGCGTTTTCCAGGGATCATGTATCAAAAGTTGTTCCCACTGCCCTCTCCAGGAGGCAGAGAAGGCAAACTAGAGAAAACATTTGTAGCCACAAGATATTTATATATCCTTTGGGTACGTCAATAACAATATTAGGTTGGATAGGTTATATTTTCAATGCTTGATAATCATTCCATAGCTAAAACAAAACAACATACACTCAGGTTATATATTGAAACTACTAGCCTCATTCTACTACTGCAGCCAATGAGGCAGAAATGGGTTAAATGTTTCCATTGTGTTACAACTTGGTACTTGAAGCAGAGGACTGGACTTCTCTTCACACACTTTTTTCTTTTTTATCCTAATATTTTCCATTGCTTTTCAGAGAGAGTGGGAGGGAGAGAAAGAGAGAGAGAGAAACATGGATTTGAGAGAGACACATGGATTGATTGCGTCCCACACACACCCCAAATGGGGCTGGGGGTGGAGCTTGCAACTGAGCCTCGTGCCCTTAGCCAGATTCAAACCTGGGACCCTTCAGTCCATGGGCTGATGCTCTTACCACTGAGCCAAACCAGCTAGGGCTCTTAGCACACTTTTAGTAAGTTGCTTATCCACTATTTCTACTTGGAAATATTTGATTTTATTTTCTATAACATTTCTGAAATTTGGTAGTACACTTTTCAGCAGTCGTATCACAGTAATAGAAAAATGGGCCTGAATTCCTGGTCATTCCAAGTGTCATGTCTTTTTCAGTGGTTTTTGCTACGAAAGACCTGAAGCTAATGCTAAGTTTGTGTGAACTCAGAACTTAACCACGAAATAAACACAGCAGCATTCATTCAGCTTTAAGAGGTTCTTAACGTCAAAGCCATCGAAAATACTTATTTGCCAACTACATATAAATATAATTATAATAAAGACTACACAAACTTAGGAAAATAAGATCTTCCACTTTGCCTGAGAAGCATGTGAAAATTTAATTGAGTAATAGGGGTTTGCTAATTGTTATTAGTTTGTTTAGCTAGCTAACAAAATAAATTATCTGTAATTAAAGTGATAACTGGGACTTTTTTCAAACCAAGAGTAGAATATATGAAAATGCCAACTAAATGTGTGGTCTCTCTTGACTCTGGTCATGAACCCACCTTTTGCAGCTTTTCTCAAAACACCAGAGGTGGGAAAGGGGCACTAAGATGCCTGAGAATTGACAGGGTATTCTGAAAGACGTAAGTGGCGCTTATTTAACTTTCCCCAAAGCATTATGTTGCTTAATATCGGGTTGATTGTCTCTATTAGTGCTAGCCCCTTAAACCAACATTTTTTTCTATAAATGAACATTATAATTCAACAATAAAAAAATTACCCAATTAGTACGTGGGCAAAAGATCTGAATAGACATTTCTCCAAAGAAGGTACACAAATGGACAATAATCACAGGAAAATATACTCAACATGTTAATCAGGGAAATGCAAATCAATAGCACTTCACACCCACCAGAATGGCTACAATGAAAATTATCCAATAGAAAAACCAACTGTTGGTGAGGATGTGTAGAAACTGGAACCCTTATACACTGGTTGGTGGGAGTGTAAACTAGTGCTGCTACTTGGGAAAAGTGGGCAGTTCCTCAAAAGTTACAGTTCCTCAAAAGTTAAACATATATGTACACCCAAGAGAAATAAAAGC